TGTTGCTAAAAAATGAAAGAAGATAGATGAATGAATGAAAGCAGTGCAGAAAGCAGATAGCCCCTCCCAAAAGGTCTTCCATGTGACCAGAAGTGAAGAAAAGTTCAAATAAATATTAGAGTGCCACAAACATTCATTATATTCACAAGTAAGTAAAATTATACTTGCAAATAAAAACATAAACAGTCAAAGTCAGAATTAGTAGCCCCCTTTTAATTTTTTTTTCTTTTAAATATTTTCCAAATGATGTTCAAAAGAGCAAAGATATTTTCACAATATGTCTGATATTATTTTTTCCTCTGGAGAAAGTCTTATTTGTTTTATTTCGGTAAAAATAAAAGCAGTTTTATTTTTTTTTAAACACCATTTTAAGGAAAAAATTATTAGCCAATTTAAGCTAAATTTTTCTTTCGATAGTCTACAGAACAAACCATCATTATACAATAACTTGCCTATTTACCCTAACCTGCCTAGTTACCCTAATTAACCTAGTTAAGCCTTTAAATGTCACTTTAAGCTGTATAGAAGAGTCTTGAAAAATATCTAGTCAAATATTATTTACTGTCATCATGGCAAAGATAAAATAAATCAGTTATTAGAGATGAGTAAATAAAACTACTATGTTTAGAAATGTGTTTAAAAAAATTCTCTCTGTTAAACAGAAATTGGGGGGGGGGAAGAATGGGGCTAATAATTCAGGGTTGCTAATAAATCTGACTTCAACAGTAAATATTTATTTTATTTTACAAACACAATTTTGCCTCATATTTATAACTGAATTGCATCATGTGCATTTGTAGATTAGGCAGCATTTGTGGGTAGCTCTCTGTGCATTTGTAGACTGGTATTTGTAGATCGCTGTGGGTATTTGTGGGTAGCTCTCTGTGTACTTGTGGATTTTAAAACATTTCTAATGTCAAGACGAACACTAATCCGCAAATACCCACAGCGATCTACAAATGCACACTAATCTACAAATGCACAGGACGCAATTCACATAAAAACGTCAGCCAAAATTGTGTGTCTAATTTTACTTACTTTTCAATCTAATTAATGTTTGTGGAATTCTAAGACTTATATGTGGGTCTCATTGTATGTATCTCAATATGCTTGATATTTGTGTTAGGAACAAATGATTTTTGTCTCTTTTAATTTTTATTAAACAATTGTATTTGTTTTGCTTAAGGTTCTATATTAACCAAACTTCTCTGAGTGTGAAAAGCCTTGCAAGAAGCTTATTAGAAGAAGAGGAAGTATGTATGGGTGCGGCCACTGAAGGACTACAAAATGAGTGATAAGTGACAAATTCCACCTAACTCCACTCGTTAATATCAGCTGTGTATATATTCTTGGGTCAAGAAATGTAGAGTTGTTGCGCACCTCCTGAATGTAATAATTGCATTGGAACGAGGATACAAAGAATTCTGTTCATCAAAATATTAATTTGAACCTAATAAATTACTAAAATTTTGACATTGAAGAAAACCCTTTCCTGACCTTTTAATTGAACTCGCAAGGAATTGGTTAAATATTTCAACATTTTTCAATAGTTTCACATTTATTTGTGTATTATATTACATTTATTTGGAATTACAAAACAATTCTCACTCCATAGGTGAAAAGTAAATAATGTTTACTCACTTCATAAGACCTCAGCGTATCATCAGGAGCTGCAATTATTAATTTTGTTAAATAATTTGTTAGACTCTCAAAGTGCCAGCTTTTGACTTGCATTTAGGGATTACTTAAATCTGGATTAAAATATTCCTACTGATACAGTAAACATGTTGGATTGCCTGTGGGTGAGTAAATAAACAGCAGGTTAATGGGTAAACTATTGGTTCAAGTTGCTTAAGTTTATTTGCGTAAGTATCTGCTGCAGTGCTGCTACTCAGAGAACAAAATAAAAGTGATTTTAAATCAAGGAGTTTGGCTGTCAAAATCTGTCTAAACTACTGACTGACAATAAATAAGGTAAACAACTTCAGACAAATAAGCTTAAATCAATAAATACAATTATTTTTATAAAACATGCATGCATATTAAAATAAATAATCTTTTCTGTGGTATGGTCAAGACATAAGCAACGTTCACAATATAATAATAGAAAATATTTTGCGAACTCTAAAAAAATATTCTTGAAATTATAAACTAAATGATGAGAAACAGAAGGTGAAATCATTCGTAATTATTACCAAACTCACACAAACAGAATCTGCACTCCCAGAGTTATTTCTGTGGTTTTCCATATGCCTGTAAAAATTTCCACATGGTGCATGTTGCACTATATGCATGTGATCCAGTTTTACACATACCACGTCTGCTGTGTTTCCCTATGAAAAATGTTTAGTCAAATGTGTATGATGGCTGTGACCATTTGTGCTTCCAGCTCCTTTTAGAACCAGTACAGAACAGACACAATAAAAACAAAAACGACAGAAACTATGGTCTGAAAACAACACTATTGTAACCAGGGGCGTAGCACCAAATTCTGGACCCTGTACCCTCTCAATGTCAGTGGGCCCCCTACACATTTTTTTAAAATTATTTGAATATAAACATACACAAATAGTGTTTTAATCTATAATCAAATCAGATTAATGACTGGTTCTTTCATTCACCACCATTGAGTGCTGCTACTGCTGGTGTGTCGGAACCACTGGTTGTTTCTGAAACTGGTTAATGTTGGCAACCTGACGTTAGCTGGCCTGGCCCATAATTTACTTACAGCAACAAGCAGCCTGGTTGACAAACTAAGCTAAAGATTTAACATTAGCATACATACATTACAGCGCTTGAAATTAACTTTTTTACTTGGTAGGACTGGTGCTCCCAACTTCAAAAAGTTAGGAGCATCCCAAAAAATTTAGGAGCACCCATTTTCTTTTTAGTTATGCGCCGATCTTGATTCTTAATAGCCGATTTTGATTAGTACACGTACATCTCGGAGATGTCTATTTGACGTCTGCATTCACATCTGCAAGACATCTACAAGACGTTTCCTATCAGATGTGAAATAGACTTCTATTAGACATCTTTAAGATTCAGAATGTGTGTAAAACTGACATCATACATATATATTTTGAAATATATAATGACATTGACATCAATTGGAGGGGCCAATTAATTCGAAATAGACTACAAAAAAAAATAATAATAAAAATTGGTGGGATTTCAAAGGGCCCTCTCGCTAGACGGGGCCCTGGGTAGTCAGGTCCACTTTTCCCTCCACTACCACGCCCATGTACTCAAGTCAAGCATTTACTTCTGTCACCCTTTAAGGATAAACAGGAAAAAGATACAAAGAATGTGTCGATGTGTGAGGCATATTCAGTATATCAGGCATGCAGCATAGTAGAATACCGGGGTTGATCAAGCGACAAAAATTAGGACCAAGTTCTCAGACGGGTACTCAGGCTGGACATTTTCCCCATTGATTATGAAATAGTAATGAAATATGTACAAACGTAGTACAAATATGTACATCTCACATCTCTTTTTGAAAAAATAAAATAGAAATGAGAGAAAGTATATTAAAATCACAGGTATAAACAGTCGCAAGAAGTAAATAAGAGTAAATAAACATATAAAACATTCAAATTATTTATTGTTTTTTGTAGTTTTTCTTTTTCTAGTGTTACACAGTGTAGTATTATATTGTTTAATCTTATTAAACATCATTGGAAACTTCTAATTTCATTAAAGGTTGTTTATTGTGGACGAATGTGCTTTAGATTTTTAAAATACACTAACAAAATATTAAAATATTCGCACTGACAAAAACACAATACTGTTCACTGAACCCAACAAGGGCCTCCTAAGGCACAGGTGTCAAACTCAGCTCCAAAAGGGCCGCAGCCCTGCACAGTTTAGTTCCAACCCTAATTAAACACACCTGATCAAACTAATTGAGTCCTTCAGGCTTGTTTGAAACCTACAGGTAAGTGTGTTGGAGCAGGGTTGGAACTAAACTGTGCAGTGCTTCGGCACTTTTGAAACTGAGTTTGACACCCCTGTCCTAAGGCATCTAACAAGTATTTATACAGTGGTTCTCAATTCCAACCCTCAAGTCTAAACTGTTCTTTAAACTGGGATTGTCAAAGTTTGAACAATTTGGAGTCTCTAAAGTTGGTCTGCAATCTTGACTGTACCAGGAGGCAAATATATATGAACAACAGATCTGACAATGTTCACTTGTGTGATGTTCACTCACCATTTTATCCATGATAAAGAAAAGCTGCAATCGCACACTGGAGTCCAATCGCACACATTTATACTTCTATTTTCAGAGATTTTATTTTGCTCAGTGTACTGTTAGTCAATTAAGACTACAGTTTAACAATGTCCAGTCTGAAACTCTGCTGTTTAAATAAAAGATCAGCCCAGTACACTATTTGTTGTGTTAGTATATGATATGGTAATATAAAACAACATATTGTCTAACAGTAAAACCTTCCTTGTGCTTCCATTTGGCTAAACAGACTCATAGTAAATCATAGTAAACACAGTATATGGCACTACTGGTTTGTTAAAGAGATTGCTTCACCCTATAATGAATATTCTGTCATCTTTTACTCAGCCCTTACTATGAGTTTCTTCTGTTATACACAAAAGAAGATGTTTTGAAAAATGCTGGAAACCTGTAACTATTGACATCCATTGTATTTGTTTTCCTACTGTGGACATCAATGGTTACAGATTTTCAGATATGTATCTTCTTCAGTGTTCAACAGAGGAAAGAACCTCATAGGTTTAGAAACACGTGAGTAAATAGTTGAGGGAGAACTCTCTCTTTAATTGAGTAAGGAGTCATTTAGAAAACTCACAGAAATGATGATCAGAGCTTCAGTTTGATTCACAGGATTTTATTTGACGTATTAGCCAACAATACATAAAAGCAGTTCAGCACAAAACAATTCAAAGAACAATTCATTACAAAACAATCATGAACACTTAATTATAAAACAATCAGTCTCTCTTATGACAGAACAGCAGATTCATTAATGAGGTAGAAAATAGTTGAGCAGATCTTTGATGACACTTTAGAGGAGAAAACTGTGACAGCACTGGAGTTAAAGTTCAGTTCAGTTCAGTGTGGTTTAGTTGTCACTAACCCAGAGGCCTGCGCGACTTCCTCTCATTTAAACAAAGCGTGGGCACATCTGAGGTAAACATCAGCAGTGGACACACATACAGTGCAGGACAACGCTCTCATCAACACACTGACACTGAAAAGTAAGGTCTGAGGGGTTTGGAATGACATGAGGGAGTAATTAATAACTTTAACAGTCTTGTGAAATTTCTGGAAATGCTGCTGTTCTCCTCTTCGCTTCTTTAGTGTTTTCTAAAATGAAGAAAAACAACACAAAGTTATTTAAGCGGTGATATGAAGGGCTGTCAAATAAGACTTGTGACTCTAAAAAGAGCAGAAGAGAAAAGAACAGGAATAGCATGAAGCAAAGAAAGACTGAAGATGTAGTTTTGTGCTCGGTGTGTTCCTCTACCTCCTCTTGTCTCACTGCTGCACAGGATTTGGGCTCGTTGGATTGAACCACCGGTGCTCTTCTAACTGTTGTAACTGCAGTCGCTTCTCTGGATTGCGGACCAAACATTGGGAAATCAGGTCCAGGCAATCTGAAAAGTGACAGAGAGAGTGTGAAATATGTCTGCATACTCAAGATTCATGAACGTGTTTAAATCTTACTACATCAAATAACAAAACATTTACAATGAAAGGACTTTAATATCTACAGTAACCATTATATTTAATTGAACCCTTTTCTATTCGTGACTGACATATTTTATTCTGTCACTGAGTCTGAGATTGTTCAGAAGAGTCAGCTTACCTAAAGATAAGGTGAGGTCTGTCTGGAGGTCTCCAATGATTATCGAATGCGTGTCGTAAAAGGCCAATCGTGTATGTAATATTTCATACAGGATGAGGCCTAATGTCCAGACGTATGCCGGGTTAGGAAAGAATGTGGGATCCCTCAGAACCTCAGGCGGCGTGTAAAGTAAGGCTCCTGTAAGAGAGACATTTTCAGAATTCAGTCATTTCATAAGACAATACTGTGACCAAAGAAACTCCCACAAAATGCCCACTCACCTCGATAATCACTGCTGTTGAAAGGCTCGCTGGTGATTAGCCGAGCACAACCAAAGTCAATCAGTTTGAGCTCTGATTGGGGTTGAGTCACCAGGATGTTCCCCGAGTGGATATCTCCATGGAAAACTCCACGCTCAGCGCAGAACTTGACAGCTTGGATCAACTGATGCATTAACCGGCGTGCGTGGTTTTCATCAATGTCCAATGAACTTCTGAGATAATAAGCCAAGTTCTGGGATGACTCGGCGTACTCCAGAAAGAGAACGAAGTCGTTCTTATTCTTAATCCAGTGGTGTAATGTGATGATGCTGGGACAAGGTGGGTCCTTCATCAACTTAAGCATGATTGCCACTTCTGCAAGCACAGGTTTGGAATGGCCATCCTAGAAAAAAAAAACAGATTTCAAAGATATTACCAAAGCAGAATGGCACAAAGTACAGAGACAAAAACTTCACGAAGTAAATAATCACTAATCTCCTGTTTGGACACATGTTTGCTTGTATTTGAGCATTTAGTCATGCAGTTTAAGCTAAAAGAGGACTCTACATGTGTGTGTTCTGTCTGTGTGTATGACGCAATGATCATTTTTATCTGCATTAATGTTAAATGAATATTAATTAACTCCACAGCCCTACAATTATGTGTTCAAAACTAGTCTCTGGGTTTATTTCTTCCGCTGAACACAAAAGAAGATATTTTGAAGAATGTTGATAAACCAGTAAGCAGTGACTTCATAAGTATTTTCTTTTTCTACAATGGAAGTCAGTGACTCCCTGTTTCCAACATATCAGCTTTTGAGTTCAGTTTAAAGTGGTCCAGACAGGTACGGGACAAGTGAAGGATGAGCAAATGATCAGCACATTTTTACTTTTGTGTAAACTGTTCAACTTACAACGTCGAGATAACGGTCCTGTTCACGCTTCTTGATGTACTTCAGGGCAACCTGCGGAAAAACAACAACAAATGAAATGAAAGCCGACAAATGATTTATATTGAGTAATCAGGAGGAAAATGTTGACTGTATTTGAAAAATAGTTCTCTACCTTTGTTCTCTCATTAAATACGTGAGATCCCAGATACACCTTGCCAAAACTTCCTTCTCCAATCAGTTCTTTCACTTCAAAAAGACCCACCCTAGATCCTGAAACACAGAAAAACAGCAGGGAGATTTACTTGGATTGTCTGGTATGAAACAGATCAAATAAATGACTCGAATCCTTTAAATCTGGATCTAATGCAATGAGCTGAAAGCAGAAACTTCCATCAGAATTGCAGGAGTAAACTGATTACTAATTTATAATAATAAAAGGAAATGATCACTTACCAAGAGTGAGCCCAGAAGCCTCTTTAGGCTCTTCAAGAACTGACTCTGGCTCTGACTCGGACTCGGACTCGGACTCAGACTCAGACTCGGACTCGGACTCGGACTCGGGCTCGGGTTCGGGTTCGGGCTCGGGCTCGGGCTCAGGCTCAGGCTCAGGTTTAGGCTCAGGCACAGTCTCGGGCTCAGGCTCGGGCTCGGGCTCGGGCTCAGGTTGTGGTGTAAGATGCTGGACTACATCTGTGTCACAGCACAGGAAAGGGCGCGTTGCAGCCTTCCATACTCTTTTGAAGAAAGCAGAGACTCTTTTGCCTTTCCTTCCTTTCTTGGTGTTTTCTAAAATGAAGAAAACAAACAGAAACATCTACATGAACAGAGCTGCAGCTACAGCGCTCAGCATATTCATATATGCAGTACACCCCTTTTAGAAAATTTATATTTTTATCCATTTCTCAGTGAATCTGGGTAATATATATTGGTGCATTTGAACAAAACAGATTTATCAAACAGATTTATTTATTAAAATAATAATTTAGTCACAGAACATCTTTAGAAATGGAAAGATAATAGATTAAAGACAATTAATATCATGCAAAATATTGCAAAATTTACAAACTACAACATTTTAACAAAATTGTCAATATTTTTGTTTCCCTTAGATTTTTGCTAATTTTGAAAATTTTATTTAATATTTTCCCTGAACATATACATTTGGGCTACTAATTTTTGAAAACATTATTTAGTTATTTTGTTAGATAAGCTCCAGATTTGGCTTCAGTTCTTACTAAACTAATGTACATGCACAAATATAATATTATAAAGCCTCCTATAGAAAATCTGAATTTAAATGAGAGATTTGTGGGGGGTGCACTCATATATGTTTAGCACTGTATTAATACACAACCAACAGTACATCAAATGACACGGTCTGATTTATAAGCTAAAAACAACAAAGCATAAAAAATAACAGACGGCAGAAATAAAATGAACCACATTCAGGATGACTCACCATCAGTCCCATCAATATCAGAGGGGTCTTGAACAGACGGAGGCGACTCAGGACAGGCCGAATCAGCATCCGTCATGTTCTTAATATTGGAGAGGTCATGGACACTGATTGGCTGAGGATCTTCCCAGACCTGGCCTGGCAGACACACCAGCTCAGTATCAACATGACCTGTGAGGGCCGTCGAGGACTCTGGACGGGCCGGATCTGCATTCGGCACATCTGCTGTTCGCTTGATGCTGAAGGGGCCCGGAACACTCAACGGCTGAAGATCTTCACAGACCTGGCCTGGCTGCCACACCGGCTCAAAGTCTGCATGTGCTGCGACGGTCCTGGAGGGACCTGGAACAGGCAGGTGCTCGCAATCGTCGACATCTGACCGTGGTTCAAAGGGAACCACTCTGTTCCGGTCACAGCAAAGGAAAGGGCGCTTCACAGCCTTCCATGCTCTCTTAAAGAAAGCAGAGGCTTTATTCCCTTTCCTCCTTTTCTCTGTGTTTTCTGAAATAAAGAAAATGAACAGTGAAATATTACAAAACTCTTTAATCACAGGTTTAAAATAGACAATGTGCTGTAAATTAGACATATAAAAGACAATCACACAAAAGAAACAACAATAATAAATGTATAACTATAATAGAAAATGTTTGAAAACTAAAATTAATTATGTGGAGTTGCAAATCTTTTCTATGATGTAAAATGACAAACACAAGCTGACAAATAGTCGGTAAGTCATAAGACCATATTAGACATCAGGAAAAATCCTAAAAGCAACTATTTAGCAAAAATATTTTTCTGTTATATTATTATTAAGGAGAAAGTCAAAATGTGAGAATATAAAACCAACTTTACCTCAATTGTATTAATTCATCCCTGCATGAACAAATAAAGACTTAAATATAATATTCTCACTCAGTTTGCTAAAATATAACAAATATTCCTCCACACCATCAAAAACTAAGAAAATTACTGTGCAGATCTACACAAAGGATTTAAATTAAAGTAAAATTAGATGATTTTTATCAGAAACATTAACAAGGCACAATTTCTGTTGAGTGGAAAGGAGAAACTTAAAAACCAGAATGTCATTACATATAAGAGCAGGGCTCTATCACAAAAATATACAAAACCATAACTACACACACAAAAAAACACATTACAATGAAGAGACGTTGCATATTTGCTACACTAATAACCTTACATGGCGATATATTATTATTATTTTACATTTTACTTCATAATTTACTGTATTATTAAATAATACGTGGGAATACACAGTTTTTGTAAACTCTCATCTCACCTGTTGGGCTTCTCATCACGGTAGAAGGTGAAGGAGAAGCCATCGTGTCACTTTGATGATTTTCGTTGACAAACTCAGTCGTGATCGTATTAACTCGATTAAAAAACGCAGCTGACGTGTTATTTGCCATTTGAGATGCAAAACAAGTCGCTAAAGTCGTTAAATCAATGTTCACTGTACTCGTTCGTTTGTCACTCTGAGTAAATTCTGAATTCTGTCCAGTGACGTAACGGCAATCGAATTCGTTCTTTTTATTCGTCATCGGTGGTGGGGGAGAGGGAGGGGGGCGCAGGCCGCGGGAGGATCCAAGATGGCGCTCTGATCGGTGAAGTTCGTTGATCGTGTTATGATATAAGTTCTGTCTGCACAAAAAAACAACCCAAACCCATCGTAATCTGTTGTCTGAGAGACGAGGCGACTTTTGCAGAGTATTTCTGTGCGAATCCTGAGATTTCTGAAGCTGTTCGAGGATTTCCTAGAGAAGACTAATTATAAAGAGCACATCTTTAATCAGTTTTTATTCCGTTCTTGTTTTCTGATTATTTCATTAAACATTTGTTGTGTTGTGCTTTCCACTTCATTTTTTCCTTTTATTTATTTACTTCCTTTTATTTATTTTCCTTTATTAACATTTTTACTTTATAACATTTATATTTTCGTTTCAGAATTAGAATTTTTGCTTTTGGGATTTTTTAAAAATAAATCAACCTACAATCATATTATAGAATCTTCAATCTGTTTGCTAAATTAATTTAATGTGTAAAACTCCAGAAGGACACAATGTATATATATATTTTTACAGCATATAGAGTTAAAGTCAGAATTATTAGCCCCCCTTTTTATTTTTTCCCCGTTTTATGTTTAACAGATTTTTTTCAATACATTTCTAATCCTAATAGTTTTAATAACCTATCTCTAATAGCTGATTTATTTTATCTTTGCCACGATGACAGTAAATAATATTTTACTACATATTTTTCAAGACACGTCTATACAGCTTAAAGTGACATTTAAAGGCTTAACTAGGTTAATTAGGTTAACAAGGCAGGTTAGGGTAATTAGGCAAGTTATTGTATAACGATTGTTTGTTCTGTAGAATATCGAAAAATAAAATGTCTAAAGGGACTAATAATTTTGTCCTTAAAATGGTGTTTAAAATAATTAAAAACTGCTTTTATTCTAGCCAAAATAAAACAAATAAGACTTTTTCCAGAAGAAAAAATATTATCAGATATACTATCCAATACTATATAATATATCCTTGCTCTGTTAAACATAATTTGGGAAATCTTTAAAAAAGAGAAAAATATTTGAAGGGGGGCTAATAATTCTGACCTTAACTGTATATTTATGTTGTTGGTGCAAATTTTCACTTCAAAGAAAAAAAATCACAGTTTCATTAAAGTTTAAATTGTTTTTGTGTGAAGGTCATGTGATCAACAGGAAACTTGCAGCATCTCATTTCTCAAATGCATTTGTGTTCTCGCAGTTCCAGTTTGCTCTTCCAAGGTAACCTGCAAGACCGACCAGTCACCACAAGAACACAAATCCATGAACAGACACAGCCACCATGGCCTTTGCTTCAATGCCTGCCCCATTATTTGCCCGATTTATTTTGGAAATTTGATCACGAAAATGGGACACACAGTGGCGCAGTAGGTATTGCTGTCGACTCACAGCAAGAAGGTTGCTGGTTCGAGCCTTGGCTATGTAAGTTGGCGTTTCTGTGTGGAATTTGCATTTTCTCCCTCCGGGTGCTTCGGTTTTCCCCACAGACCAAAGACATGTGGTACAGGTGAATTGGGTTGGCTAAACTGTCCATAATGAATGAGTGTGTATGGATGTTTCCCAGAGATGGGTTGCAGCTGGAAGGATTTATGCTGGATAAGTTGGTGGTTCATTCAGCTGTGGCGACCCCAGATTAATAAAGGGACTAAGACGAAAAGAAAATGAATGAATGGACCGCGAAAATTAAATAAAATAACGTTATTCTTCAGGCGTAGAAAAACTGAGAAGAAAGATGACAAAAGATAAGCACAAAATCATTTTAGCATCGCTTTTAAGTGCTAATGATGATGGCAATCTAATAGCACATTTACCGAAAATAGGCAAATACAAATTAGTACACGTTGTCTACTTGTATAAAATATCTTTTTTTTTCCTGGATTTACAGACCCGTTTTTTGGTCTAAAATGCATTTTACTGAAATGCAATAGTACTTAAATGTCTTTCGCTGACATATTTTGTACATTGGTAATATATATTTTTTCCTGAGACATGTTTATAAAAGGGTGGTGCAGTAGGTAGTGCTGTTGCCTCACAGCAAGAAGGTAGCTGGTTCGAGCCTCGGCTGGGTCAGTATGGCGTTTCTGTGTGGAGTTTGCATGTTCTCCCTGTGTCTCCGGGTGCTCCGCTTTCTCCCACAGTCCAAAGACATGTGGTACAGTTGAATTGGGTAGGCTAAATTGTCCGGGAGATGGGTTGCAGCTGGAAGGGCATCAGCTGTGTAAAACATATGCTGAATAATTTGGCGGTTCATTCCGCTGTGGCGACCCCAGATTAATAAAGGGACTAAGCTGAAAAGAAAATGAATGAATGAATGTTTATAAAAGTTATGTTTTAATTGAATTAAGGAACAGGGAAAGAGACTGAAGGGTAGATACTCTATTTATTTTTAGTGATTTAGGAATCGTCTGATTGGTGAGTCATGCATTAGCTAATGAGGACCAGCTGCTATCAATCATAAGCATGTGCTCGTCTCGAAATTAGTTAATAAATAAACTTCACTTA